GAGAGGTCCTAAGATCATTTACACAAGTAATCAAACCCAACAAACCAACTCTCTCATAAGGCAACATAATAATAGATGTTTCAATCCGTGTCTGAATCAGAAGACGATTTATTTCCATCAGTAGTAATAGAAGTTGTATCTCCTTTCTTCCTGGCTGCATCTTCTTTTTCATAAGCCTTCACAATGTCATCAACAGGAACCAAGGGAAAATAACCGACCACAGGGTAACCCATCTGAGTCATGTCCGTGACCAAATCATTGTAGAAACGGGACCAGTCTGCAACCACAGGTATAGCTTTGTCCCCCACTGCATGGATTGGTTTGTAGTGGTCGAGTTTGGCCCAGACTTTGACAGAGTTGGTCACAACGAAACCCTTGTACTCTGTTGCCGCATAGCTAAAGGCAGCTTTAGGGCCACCGGTACGAGCCTCTTTCACAAAGTATTGAGCCTTCTCTGTTGTCTTCTTGATCAATACACTTGCTTGAGTAACCACTTTCTTAGCCATTGGAGGAGCATGCTTATCAAACTTAACCGAAACTTCACCGACCTAAGAAAGTAAACAAGGTAAGGACTTGTAGCCACAAACCTAAGCAAACGGATTCTAAGTTGTAAGAAATTACGTCATCAGATCTACCAATTTCTAGGGGGGGAAACGATGCTAAAAAGAGAAAACTCAGTAATCGAAACAGAAGTTTTTCCAGGGAGATGAAGAACATGGAAGAGTTACCTTGTGATCTAGAAAGAGGAGGAGAGAATCTGGAACATCTTTGAATCTGTGGTAGACAGGGGTGACGACGGTGGTAACGGCTCCTTCAACCTTACCGACGGCGGATTTGAGAGGACCGGAGTTTTGTTTGGCGTAATCGTAGAGATTAGAGAGGCTAAACAGAACATGGATCGCCGCAATTCTCACGAACCCTAGATGTTTCAGCCCTACCTCCTTGCTATTCTTCTTCTCTGTCTCCATCTATACACCACGAAAGAAAACAGGTGAGATCACTCTGAGATTCAAGCCACAGAGGAAAGAAGGAAGAAGAAAGTGATGATAATCTTTTACCTTGTTTTTTTCGTGTGTGGGTTTGAGGTCTGAGAAATCTCGCCTGTCTGTCACTGTTCTCTAAGTCTTGGTGATGCAGCAAAGTATCTTCACATCACGTTGAGGAGTGAGGACTGGTTCAAATAAAGGAGAAGAAGGGAACTTGTCCACGTGATCTAACGGTTCAGAATAGATCTGAGTAGGGTGTGGGGCCTCAATCGGGCTAAAGGAATCGTTTTCTAGAAATTCGTGTGTGGATGTTTCTGGATTTTTACGCTGTGACGAAGCTGTTCTAGGGGATTCTGATACGGACACGTGTATGCGTCCAATTGTCCCGTAATCGTAATATAAATTTTTTTAAGGTTTTGGATGGAATGCAAAAGAAAAATACTTCTACTTCAGTAAAATGACAAAAGTTGGTGCTATTGTTGAATGTTGGTGCTAAATTCCACAATAACTGTTGGGAGTTTGGTTTTCACTTTTCTAACCTTTAGTGCAAAATATACTCTTCCCAAAAGTCATAACCATAAGATATAACACTTTGTTTTTAAGGGAAAAACAAGCATCAAGTATAGTATATGGAATGCAAAAGGGGATCCCAAATGAGTTATAAAAGCGAGTGTATAAGGAGAGTATATAGATTATGGAGTAGCTGGATAATATTATCATAATCATTAACCACTGAGGAAGGTGGTTGGACTTGGCGTGTCTGATAGAGAGGTATGTATGTATCTTCAATTAACCTGAGATTTCTGGCGCTTCGAGTACTGCAGAATAGGCTCTCTCACCTTGATCAACAACAAGAACCAAAAAAAAACAAATATATATAACAGTTTCAGAATATAACAACATTCAAAAGATATGAGAGTAATGTGGTTTTAGTATAAAGAGACCATGCTGGTTTTCCTGCAACGCTTATCCTGCGAGGCTTGGCTTGAGTTTGTGTCTACCTCCTTGCACTTGTTACCAGCCACTCCATTTACAGCAAAGCTTTCCCTCGAAGCCACAGGCTGAGCCACACAATTACCAAATTAGCTACACTTATAATAAGAGTCACACAATATGATATTATGTCATTCAATGGTGCGTGTGATTTCAACCTGTGCTCTAGTGCTAACCGGAGTGTTGTTATTAGCTTTTGAGATGGTCTGTTCACTTAGAACCGAGCCGTTCTGCTGCATACCTGATCTTCCTTTCGTACGTGTGAACTCTGATCCTATGGAGTGGATGCCTCCACATGTAGATACATCTGTTTGTTTCAAAAAGATGTTTTTGTGTGGACATCAGATAACTTAACACAGCTCAAAACTTTGGTGCAAACAGGATTGTACCTGCGGTTGCTTTGGCCTCTAAACAGTTGGTTTTGTTCGTAGCTTCGTTAACATCCACATCCTGTCAAACCATTCACATTAGAAAGCTGTTCCAAGGATTTAATCTTTTAAGTTTTGAAGTGTGAGGGATTACCATATCGTCTGTGGCAAGAACTTTTCTGACTTCATTTAGTTTCCTCTCAGTTAGACTAGAATGAATCACACGCTTCCCTGTATATGCACATTTGCATCAATGAGACAACCTTATGACAAACAAAACTTAAAAGAGAAGGGTCTGAATTTGAGGCAGCAAACCTAGCCTGCGGTTGCTAGAAGCTTCCACGTAGCCCTCTTGGGTCATTCTGTCGATTAACTTACGAACAGCGGACTGGTTGGCTTCACCATCCAACATGTTGTGAAGCTTTGTAATGGTCACATACTTCATAGGAAGAGAATGGTACAGAGCCTAACAAAAAACCATGTGTCAATAATGATTTATCTTAGGACCATCTTTATCTATCTATCCTTTTTGCCGGTGTATTATAACATAAGAGTATAAATTCAGAGTCTCTCACTTTCATGTACATGTAGTCTTCCGGAGCTATAGGTTTCCCATCTTTTGGAGAAGCTTGACCATCAGTTTCATCTTTCACAAAGGTGAATTCGCTCCCTGGTGTCTGCTGATATTTTGGGTTCAGTTGATTGTCAAAATACATCAAATCAGTCGTCTAAGTTAAACTATATACCTTATCTCTGTTTATAATGTATGTTTCCTTCCCTGTTTTCGAAAGAACGCCTTCTTTCTCGAGCTGATCCATGATTTCTGAAAGTTAGGATGTAATCAGTTAGTGGAAGGAAGATAGACTCTGAAGTTAACAGTATGTAGTAATTATAGTAAACTGTAGATTTCATCATTATATGATGCTTCAACGGCGGTTTTTCGTAGTGACTTTCATCAAGCCTTGATTCACCTTCAGATAGAACCTGAAATAACAAAAAATGAGTGGCTTAGATTTCGGAAACGGCAAGAAACTAAATATGCAAGAACTCAGTTACACTTTCTAAGGTGGAAATAAAGAGGAAAAGCTCATTACTACTGAGATATCTGGGAAGTTTGAAAGAATATCTGTGAGCTCCACAGTATCGAGGTGACGAGAGTTGATCCAGTCCTTCACCCTTGCTAACTGCTGTTCATTTTCAACCGGATCCTGTGTGTTATCTTGAAGCATTCCACAGATTAAAGAAATTAGAAGGAGCTCTCCTTATTCTGTGAAATCAAAATTTGCGCTAATATTTGGTATAATTATTTACCTTCATCGATCTCTCCATCATCATTATCTTGTTTCTCTGTTAGATAATCAAGTTTATTCAGTTTAGTGAAATTTTTACTAGACTGGCATAGCATACTAGGATTTGTTGTTTAGTCATCATTACCTACTGGCGCCACAATGAATTGGTTTTCTTGTGTTTGACTTATCTGGACACAGCAACGAACATTATGTTATTGGCACATCAGAGTCTAATGCATGTGGGATGTAAAGACCAAGTATATTGCATATGAGGAAATAAAGACTTTGTTAACCTCGCTATCTGAATCAGAAGGCTTGTCATCATGTACAGAATCAGGTCCTGTACTCTTAGCATCATCTTGCATATCATCATTTTCATCCTCACACGGATCAAGCACGCTCTTGACCTACACAGATCATCCACAATGGATTGACATCATTTGACAAGATATATGTCTCGGCGAGTTGCATATTCTTCAATCGCATTACCTTTAGCGTTAGCACAAGATGTTTGCTGTTAACGTTCCCAATTTCCATTCTCAGAGGATCCTTTGTCCATACATACTGAGCTTCTTCTTCTGTACAGCCTCTGAAGAAAGGTGGCTCGTAATCTGGTGGCTGCAAATAGGTTAAAAAAACAGCTTGTCGGTCTTTCTTCTGAGCATTCAATTTTGGCAGAGCAGAGCAAAGATGAACAGCATTGACATTATTCCGAAAGAAATAAAAAACTTGTATGTGAACACAGCAAATTCAAAGCTACTTGTATGTATTACAAATGCATGCAGCAAACTCAGAAATTCACAAACGCAAAATTTGAATGCTAGTTATTTACAATATGTTAATCTGGAAGTCGGAGTTATTAGACAAAACAAGCTCTATTCAAGCTGCATCAAGATCATAACAATTATAGCAAGGTTCAGAGGAATTTAGGAAGGCTATAACCATACCGTCACATCATCGTAGTACATAAGCTTCATCACTATGGTACGCTGTAGNAAAANNAAAAAGTAATAATCTCTGTAATCAGTAATCTGGAAACTCATGAAAATTGAAATACCCCTGAAGGGTANTTAAAATATTCATTACCTCATCTGGCATTTTGTCGAGAGTTCTCATCAACTGAACAAGTGTACGAACCATTTTGCAAGCTGAACTCCTGATTTCATGAAATTATAAAACATGTTATGGAAGAGAAAAAACCCATATAGACCTCAATGTAGCAAAGATATATCTCAATAGTGTACATACCTCATTTGATTTGGTGTAATGTCAGCAGTGGCGTTGAAAGTTCCTCCATGTTTCTTATTTCCAGTACGATTGACGTTCATCATGACATCTTGGCTGTCAGAATCTGAATAGCTGAAGGAAACTGCAGTAACACAAGCTCTTCATCACAATAAACAATGGAGATATATAACCAGGGAAGGGAGATGTATCAATTAATCAGATAATCCACCAGAGAACAACACTTTTATCAATGCTAATCAATCATCTCGCAAGAACTTACAAGCGTATTCCTCAATCATTGGACCATCTACTGTTTCACAAATGCAGAACATGAGCGTCTTNAAGTATTTCCTCTGTAGCGCATCGTAGACACCTAGATTCCATGATGAAGAAACAATGATCAGAGATAAATGCTGAAAGGAAAGCGTGTAAATGCCCAAATCATGGGTNTAGAAAACCTTTCTCCATCCAGTCAATTAATCGGCGTGATTCAGCGTCCATAGGCATTANCTTCTTAATCTTCATATCTATCATTTGTTTCAAACGCGCATTAGAAACAAAAACATGAAAGAGGCGATTAGGTCTAGAAACTTCCAGATTAGCGGCTTACCCAAAGCAGGAACCGATTTATCGTTGAAATACTTGTCAGGAAAGAGTCCCCGAATGTAGCTGATGTTGAAGATAGCAATTCGGAGCAGATTCCTAGTCTGATTCAACAAAACGAAGACCAAAACAAACACGTCAGTGTAAAAGAGCTACAGATCCAACTAAACGAAGAAGCGGTTCACGATTCCTTAGAAATTTCACAATCTGCGAGAATCAAAAGAGGAAATCCATCTCCCGATGATAAACTCAAACTAATCCAGACCAATATCTGGGAAAATCACCAGGAAGGAAGGAGAAATTTAACGAATCCTTAAGAAACAAAGCTCGATGATGGCGTTGTTGCTTACCAGAAGGAGCGAGTCCTGTTCGGTGATCTCAGCTTCCTTAAGCTTCTGAGCGACTACCTGAGGGAGAAAAAAAAAGAAAAACCAACACTACTAAATCAGATTTCGAGATAAGGAACGGAGCGAAAACTATCCCCAGGCTAAGAGAGGAAGACGGAGAAGAGAAATCGATGATCGGAGTCTTCTTCTTCTCACCATTTTTGCAGAGGTACGAAACGAAGAAATCTCAGTAATCTCACCGTCGTCGCAGTAATCTCAGAGAAAAAGAGAGANGAGAGAAGAGGAATTTTGAAAAAATTTGAAAAGAAACGGAAATGGTAGTGTGAGAGTCTCTGAGGGAGCGAGCATGAAGTTTATAGAGAGAGTAGGACAAAACGGAGAAGGATCTTTAGGGGCAATGTTGGTATTTAGCGATGATAGTAGGGATAATATTGACAAAATGTATCTAACCTCCTATAGGCTAAAATTGTCACGAACAAACGCTACCAAGTTCGTTTCGCTGAGTGGGCCCTACTTTATATTTCGAAGTTTATGCATTTTTGTTTTTAATTTTTGTTTGGGGAATTATAAGAAAAGATAACTTGTGAAGACTGATGCAAATAAAATAAGCCCCCGACATTCGTATAGCCTCCATATTTTATAAATGGCGTAAATAAGAAAATCTATAGCATGTTGGAGACGTAACAATAATAATGTGACAAATTTATTCGTGTGTTGTTACATTTAGTAATAAGGATGACCAATGTTAAACCATATAACATGTGTTTCTTTTTTTTGTAATTTTAAGCTTGCAAACGTTTATACATGTTAAAAATTAAATTTGCTTTTTTTCTAAACCACAATTATATTATATCAAACCATTTAAAACTAGCTGACTATAGTTGAAATTGTAGGGTGAAGACTCAAATTTTGGTCTCGACCCACATATGAATCATCAACCACTAGACCATAAAATAAGAAACGAGATTTGGTATAATTTCATTGCATTAATAATTTAATGTTGTTAGAAGAATTATTAATTCTAACATAAACATTTTACGAGTTGTTGCAAGAACAATTCCTTGAATACCTAAAACAAAATCGACCTTTTTGTGTGTCTCTTCTTTGATATTGTCTTAAATCTAAAGTGACAACAAGAATTGATTGGTAACACTAAGAGAGAAGAGAGAAAGAAGGCATATCTTCGATCCTAAAAACATCATCCAACATCAGCTCTCTCTCTAGCTGCCCCCTCGTACATCTTAGCACGTCCTACACAATCCGTCCATG